TTACATTTGCATTTGGTGCAGTTTTCAGTCTAGATACAGCGGTAATTGCCGGGCGTACTGATCCGACGAAGACGGTGGGATCCTTTTTTGGGAAGGGGTGGTTGTTATTACGCATGCAATATGTTGTGGCTCAGTGGCCTGTAGAGACAGGCGCCTGATGAGATGAGAGGAAAGTTGGTCGCGATTGCTTGTGTATTCGGGATCTTGGTGGGATGACCATACGATGTGCTTGTATGCTTTTTTTTATATTCCGTAAGTTTAAGAAATTGAGTTTATTAATATGTCAATAGATAGATTGCATCGATTTCGTGTGCCGTATGTCTTAACTCGTATCGCTATTATTCGTATGTTCATATGCTATCAGCTCGCACACATTTGAAATTGCTCTCTCTCTCTCTCCCTTTCTTTCTCTCTCCCTTTCTCTCTCTCCTCCCTAGTCTGTCAAGATGTAGACGCCAGTGTGTACGGGAGTCGAAATGGAGAGTGATTGACTCAGATTGAGGTCTGAGTTTTTATTTTGTCTGAGTTCTTTTTGTTTTTTTCTTTTGCGGTGACACAATGTCGGGAGATCTCAAATCTTTTTGGTGGAGAATCGGTAATCAATTATACGGAGTAGAAATCGTTATCCTAAGTCTCCAATTAAGTGGGGCTTATTAGAGAGTCCTCTTCCTATCCAACGTATATATAGTTTGGCTAGCCTACCTCTTTCTCTGGTGTCGATCGAGGCGCCTTAGCGGAATTTCCCAGTTTCGAAATCGGATATTATATTATGAAAGCTTTAGACGCAAGAGAGTTCGAACACAAGGGGCGAGTTCCCACGAGCAAAGAGGATTGGATTATGCTCTCCTGAATGTGGATGTGTCTTGTACAGAGATGCAGAAAAACGGTTCCATCTCAGTATCCTGCACCTCTCCACGAACACTTCCACAGTCAGGCTTTCAGATCCGATCCTCTCCACGAACACGAACACGTCCACACTAGTGGGACCTCGCCAAGGTGTTAAAACGCCGCTATCTCCAATCCTGTTTTTTTTGCTGTATCTGAATTTCATTGCGCACCGAGTTTTGCCCCGCCTGGGTCACATTCTTATTTTTTTTAATTATTATTATTTTTATCAGATATTAAACTGATTGGTACTCACGGCCGGCCGTTACATCCCAAAGAGAACGAAAAAAAGAAAAGAAGAAGAAGAAGAAAAAAAAGAATCTTTGTATGAAAAATATATGCCGTGATAGCCATCAATATATATTCGATGAGGTGCTGGTGAGACTGTCCTCAAGGAAGGACCAAAAAAAAAACCTTCCCGTATGAAAAACGAGTGGAGGACAAAGAAAAAAGTGAGCTTCCCTTTTGCTGCCGGCTATCGCGGTCCAATAGAGGATGCTACAGTGCAAGTGCGAGTATGACGTGAGTGTGCCCCCAGTGGAATCTCGAGGCAGGGCACCAACGAGAAACCGGAAGTAGGGAAAAAAAACACTAACATAAGCAATCATGTTCCCCATATGCTGGCCAGATACATTCCTTAGAGCACTGGTGTGACCCCCACCTGATTTCGAAGTTCTTTTTTTTTTTTTTTTTTTTGATCTCACGGCAGGACCGCGGTGTCCCCTTTTTTTTTTTTTTTTGCTGCCGGCTATCCAGGTCCAACAGAGGATGCTACAGTGCAAGTGCGAGTATGACGTGAGTGTGCCACCAGTGGAATCTCGAGGCAGGGCACCAACGAGAAACCGGAAGTAGGGAAAAAAAACACTATAACATAAGCAATCATGCTCCCCATATGCTGCCAGATACATTCCTTAGAGCACTGGTGTGACCTCCACCTGATTTCGAAGCTCTTTTTTTTCTTTTTTTTTTTTTGATCTCACGGCAGGACTGCGGGGTCCCCTTTTTTTTTTTTTTTTGCTACCGACCCTACGTCGGAACTCTTTTGGATGACGTCATTTTCCCAAATGGGACTACAGCTTGGGAAGGTAGTGGTGGTTTAAAGTTTAAACAGTAGAATGTCAGTCGCGGAGTCTGATGCAAGCACATGGACATGTTGAAGTTTGTTCATGTGAAGTTAAAAAGGGGCTCTACTCTCTGCCGTTTCGGGTGCAGAAAGGCCAGGTACTCAAGGTGGCCGCTGCATAGAACAAGGGACTGGCAGAAGTGAAACCGAAAGTGAAGGAAGAGGAAACGGACGCATGAAGATGAAATCGAACGAACCCTGCAAAGCCGAGCGCTTTTGGGTTGGAACGGTAGTGGGATGGGTGAACCTCTTGGTAGGAGGTCCTGGTGCTGATTCAGGAGAGAAAACCTGTGCTGAGCATAAGGATGGGACATTGAGGAGAGAAGTCATCTGGCCGTAAGTAAGGTAAAGCCATAAGTTTGTCCTGGTAATCTAGTGTTCTTATTCCGTGTAATTCTGAAGCTCTATTATTGGACAGGCATGAAAGTGGAGCAGAGAGGGTGGACTCCACCTTAATGCGCCGGCTGTGTGAGATTGGTGCCTCCTCTCTGACATCCAGATGAAATTGAACTGTGCAAAGCCGAGCGCACAAGATGAACTGGGAGAGGTGATGCTTACACAGCACGTGGCGGTTGACGAAGGCCAGCACTCCACACGTTCGGAAATGGACAGGGCCATGTGATATTGGTGCCTCCTAGGTAGGGCTCTGGCATTCAGAAACAGTCCGGTCTGGGTTGCCCACAGACGATGAACTTGGAGAGGAGATGCTAACATAAAGCGGTCAGTGGTTGATGATGCCGGCCTGTGGCTAAAGCCCAACATGATGAACTGGGAGAGGCGGCGCTTGCGTAGCGGTCAGTGGTTGATGATGCCGGCCTGGGGCCAAAGCCCAACACAATCTGACGTTCAGAATCAGTCCGGTCTGTGGTGCACAAGATGAACTGCGAGAGGGGACACTTATGTAGCGGTGGGTGGATGGTGTAACTTGGTGAAGCCGGCCGGTGGCCGAAACCGGTCACGTTCAGAAACAGTCTGCTCTCTGTGGTCAAGGCCTTGAGAAACAGTGCGATCAAGACGTTGTTCAGAAACAGACCGGTCGTGAAACTGGAGGCGAGGGTGGTAGTGGTTTATCAATCGGAATGGTCGCCAAAACCCAGACTGATTGGGTGATGCCGTCCTGTGGCCAAAGCCCAACACAGTCTTTAGGTCGTTCACTATGCAACTGGTTGTGCAAGGTGAAAGTGAACTTGTCTGGTGGCACTAGATGTGTACAAATATGTTGATGTAGAAGATGATTGGTTGCGGAAGGTGGACACGGATCAACAGAACCGTTATCTGTGCTCAATTGCTGGAGATAAGGGGGATAAAGAATGATGGCGCGGTTTCGAGTGTGTTTCTGTTCCCGATTTCGCTGTGTGGGTCCCCCTCCTGACCGTTCCGCCTTTTTGGGGCTCGTTGCCAGACTGTCTGTCTGGGATACGACTTGTTTCTATAAGTGGGGCGTGATACACAATGAGGATCCGTCACCTGTGCTCAACTGCCGGAGATGATTAAACCACTAGTACACGGTGCCAGCCTTGCTGAAAAACGAACTCGTCGCCTATACGAGATTCAACTGGGCTCAGGGGAGAGTCAGCCATACGAGGCAGAGTGAATTTTCGTGGGCCCACAAGGGCTGCAAGTGGGCCCACAAGTTGGATAAGACAGGCATAAGTCCAACGCAGACAAAAAAAGAAAACAGGGCAGAAACATTCGATGGCCAGATGGTAGGTAACCAGGGGACATGAGGAGACTCTCTAGAAGCTCAAGCAGAAACGCGGCAGGCGTATGTTTCCACGGGTGCCAGCCTTTCCTTTCTTTTGTTTTTTCGATTGTATCTGCACTCGTTTTCAGGATAGGTACGGGTGCAGTTTTCGAAGGGATTGCCCGTTGTTGTGGGCAGCATGGGCTGACAAGATGTCTCCATGTGGGCCTGGAATACGGCCAGATAGAGATGAGGGGTAGTTGCTGGGGTAAGCTGGGGCAAGCAGCCCCCATGCCATCATCAAGGCCGTTACAAAACTGGGGGGGGGGAAATTAAAAAAAGAACAAAATTACCACCACCGCCTCCAAGGGGATACTCACACAGGCACTTCGCTCAATGTATCTGGCTGCAGTCATGTCCAACGCCAGCAGGAACAGTCCCAGCGTGATGTTTTCTTTTTCTTTCCCTTTTTTGTTGCTCTTTTTCCCTACCTAGGAATCCGCTGTGCCTTGTTGGCAGGGCCGTTACTTTCAGCCTCTGTCCATTGCACTGCGTAGCTTTTCTTTTGTTTCAACGAGGCCGGTACCGATACCACCCCCGATTTTCCAAGCGGTACCAGTTGCCTTCAGGCTCGGAAGTGCTGTAGATTAAGGCGTGTAGATTTAGCGTTGGGTGTACTGGTGGTTTAAGGGGGGATAAGAATGATGGTGTGGTCTTCAGTGTGTTTCTGCTCTCTTTTTTGCTGTGTGGGTTCTCTTCGCTGCCTGATCGATCCGCCTTTTGGGGGCTCGTTGCTTACTGTCTGTGTGGGACACGGCTTGGTTTGATAAGTGGGGCATTGATACACAATGCTTTTGACTAGGGGAAAAATTGGTGTCCGCGGACCTCCTTTTTCCTCTGGGTGCAATGTGGGCCGAAGCGTTTCTGTTGACGTTTCTGTTGTTCACGGGACGGGAAACCTTTGTGAAGGAAAATGATTGAACAACCCTTTGGGCTACGGAAAAGGTCCCAAGTAGCCTCTTGCGGAATGGGCCTAGATGGTCAGAGTGCCCTGTGTGTTTTATGCGTGGATGGGTAGGTGCTCAGGGCTATTCTGGCAGGGCTATATTTGTACACCGGTATGCATTGGGGGGGGGCACTGTTGGCTTCGTTATTATTATTATTATTATTATTATTATTATTATGGAATATAAAAAAGCAATAGGGGTCTCTTCTAGCATGGTCTGAGGGCATCTTCTGATATTGCGTTATCTGTTGTGTCCCCTGTGATGTTGGTTTGCTGCTGGCATTGCCTTTTCGTGTGCGCAGCCGGTTCATCTTGAATGCTCCAGAAGAGGACCTGCAATCTTTTGAGAGAATACTATTTCTTGTGGAGCAAGCACACTGGTTTTATGAGGACTTCACTCGAGAAGAGAAACCTTGCCTGCGCCATCTTTCGTTAAGAGAATTCACCGCTCTTGGTATCCTTTCAGAGCAGTATGAACTCAGTTAGTTAGAGAAGGAATCTTGAACCCATCCAATGTTCTATGTCTGTGGCATCTAAGGGATTGCTAATTAGCAGCACTATTATACACGTATATATATCAGCCTCCTGATGAGTCGGTGAAACTCCGACAAAACAGTCTGTCACGGTCCCTCGTTCGTTGTCCTCTTCTCCCTCTCTTACTGGGCAGCTCTGTTTGACGAAATATCATTAGACTGTTAGTATGAAAACTTCACTCTAGAAAAGAAACCTTACTGCGCCATCTTTCCTGAAAAAGGCCTTCACCGATCTTTGTATTCCTTCAGTCCAGTCGGAACTATAGAAGGAATCCTGAACCCATCGAGTGCTCTTTTTACGTCGTCTTTCTGAAAGGATTGCTAATGAGCACTATTGTTTTTAATGTTATTGTATTACTACAAGATAATATTATAATAGAATAATGTATTGTGTTATTGTATTATTAATTATTAATTTATTAATTATTATATCCTGTACCTGGTCACCCTGACAGTTTACGAGTATGAGAGTCGATAAAGGGCAAGCCCACTGTCTAGGTTACCTGACCATTGTATGTCCCCACAAAGCTCATGTAAGACATGTCTGTTTGTGGCATATGGTTGTTAGGGATTGCTCATTAGCAGCACTATTTTTTATTTATTTATATTAAAGTTATTATTATTTTGTTGCTTTATTATTATAACCTGTGCCCTGTCACCTTCATGGTTGTCGGTTATCCAAGCTGTATGCCGTGTCGTAGGGAAGCCCATGTAGATGTAGCCCAGTGGGGCTGGGGGTAATTGCCGGTTTCATCCTTGTGAAAGGGGGATAATTTTGGTTAAATGCTTGAACCAAAGGCGACACTGCTCATGCGCACTGGCACATCCCGTTCAGAAAAATCGGTGTGATCTAGCCCATAGGTGCGTGCACTAAAATGGGATAGTGTTGGCGCACGTTGGAGAAACATTTCGCGATTTCGGTCCCTTTTTAATTGGGTAGTTTAAAAGTTGCTGAACGCTCTTTTCGAGCCCATGTGGGGAAAGCACTACAAAACGGGAAGAAATGGCAGCAGGTGCACAGCCATAGCAACGGGTATATATTGCAGCCTTGTGTGAAGCTTCCCTTGATGTTCTCCTCGTTCGCTGTGTAGTGTGCGGTGGTGGCATTACCTGTAAAACCAGCGGAAAAGCAATGGTGGGTTCCAGTCTGGCGGGGTCAGTTGATATTCGCTCCGACCGAGCAGAGCTCTTTTTTCCAATGACCTGTTTGTCATCGGTGAAATTGGCTCCAACCGAGCGGAGCTCTTAGTCAATGGTTGTGTGTGTGTGTACCACGGAGACCTCTGCGGCCATTGGCTCCAACTGATCGGAGCTCTTTGGCTGATGACCTCCCTTTTTCCCTACAGAATTGATCGACTTGTTTGTGAACAACGAAACTCGTGACCTGTTTACGGATCTCATGACCTGTTTATTAGCAGTTATGTGCTGGGCTACCAGCTGGGCTGTCCAGGTCACTGTGGTTGCCTGGGTGGCCCAGCTGTGCAAGCGCTAGGGAAGGTCCCAGGAAAAAAAAAAGAAAAACAATCTGAAAAAAATATGAAAAAATCTATTTTGTGTAGAAAAATAAACTAACGACTTTTGCCTGAGAGTCGCATAGAAACTCTTTATCAAATGAAAGAAAAAAAAAAGATTTGTTATTATTTTTTCTCCTTACATTTTGGCCCAGCCGGGCAAATGGTCGTGGGTCACTCTGGTAGGCTAGGTTATTTTATGTTTTTACCATCGCGACCGGCTGGACATCCGGATCGGAATCCGGAAGGTGCGGTTGTCTGGGTTTGGGTCCGGTGTTCGGTCCTGTGGTCTGGATAATTTTTTTGGGGGCTAGCCTAGGACATTTTTCGGGTCCTAGGCCGCCCCCCAAAAATGCCCCTGGTGTTTTTTGGCCGTTTCAGGGCCTACCGGACTCCGCGAGATGCCTTGAACAGCTCCCTCTGCTGTTGTACTACGGTGGTAGTTCATCGGAAGAGGATGAGTCCGACTCCGAAGATGAAGCGCTGGCTGCAAAGCGCCAAAGAACATCAAGCTAGAGAGAGAGAGAGAGAGAGAGAGAGAGATGATTTTGGTCAGATCTGTTCTTACACAGATCTGAATAACTTAACAGTTTAAATTTCAATTTTCCTATGAATATGAATTAGGAAGTCTTAACTTCAAAATTCAAAGTTCTGTTTCTTTCTGATTCTCGTACTCGTTTGTGAAGCGTCTTGAGATTGGTCTGTCGAGAACTGGTTTCAACTTTCTTGTGTTTTGTGAGCCTTTGTGAATGTCTGTGAAAGACGATAAGTACTAAGTTTCGTTCGCTACTCGCAACTGCCATTGATTGTGTTCATTGAACTGACTTCATTTGTGTTTACTACTGTTTAGCACTAATGGGTTTTGTTTTTTCCCCCTCCCGGTCCGGACTTTTTTTTTTTTTGTGTGTGTCCGGTGTACGTGTCCGGGTCAGGTTCTGGTTGTCCGGTGTCTGTCCCGATTACCGGACGTCTGGACCAGTCCAGACGTGTCTGGGTCCGGGTCCCCGCGGTCGCCATGGTTTTTGCATTCAGCCAGAGGGGATAGGCAGACGAGGCAGATTCCTATATTTTGGCTCTTTGCCCAAGTTTGTTGTCTGGCCTCTTAGGTTGCTGGGACGGCATCTTTAACGAAATAGTGCAAGACGCAATGGATTTATCTATGTTTGCCCATGTTCGAATTTGCTTTAAATGAAAAGAAAGGTGATGCATGCAAGCTCTCTGCTTTTTTTATGAAAGTTCGTGCTTGCAAGTCCGGGTTTATTTGTTTTCTGGGCGGGATGACAGCCATGTTGAAAGGGAATGTTTTGCGGATGTGGAGTGTGGGTTAGGTGTGTGTTGTTCTTCCTTGACCATGAACAGTTTTTCAGTACTGTACGTCGCTGAGGAAGTACCTCTCCCACATTGACGACATATACAACGACTTCACGACGTACAAGATTCGTGTGCCAGTGAGTGGTGCAATTATTCTCAACCAAGCGTTGGACAAGGTGATTATATTGTTCTTCATTACCCAATCCTTGTGATTTTGGTCGTTCGGTGTCTTGGCTTGGTTTCCTTTCTATTATTGTGGAGGGCTATCAGGTACTATATCAGGTGGGTGGAATAAATTCCTGCAGGCATGTGTCGGAGTTGAGCGGAGAGAGGGCGATTTTGGTTGCCACAACTTGATATCTTATTGTAATTATATCCTATTTTTATAATCGGATCCTATTTATCTGGCGGTGAGGGATTCCGAGGCTTATGGTGAATATGACAGGATTTTGGTTCCTGCAGGATTTTGAATGAACTACAGCGTCCGCTCTCCTGATATTCTCGGGGAATTTTTTTTTCCATGGCAGTGTCTTTTGGTAAAAGGCTACAAACCAGGAGCCAGCTGGGGTTTTCCAAAGGGAAAGAAGAGCAAAGATGAGGAGGATGATCAGTGTGCAATTCGTGAGGTAACTACCTAGTTTCGGTGTGTGTCCTTGTCTGTTTGTTGTTCCCCCTTTTCCCTGCCCTCCTCTTCTCCGCCGCTTGCCCCGCCCTGCCCCATCCCTTGCCCTGCCCTTCCCCGCCCCTCGCCCATCTCTACCTCCGCTCCCTGGAGATGACCCCGATTCTTCAGTGTTTGTTTATCCCTACTCCCAGCAGCCAATACGTTGTATTTGGTGCAATGGATTGCGTTTCATTGCGATGCAAGGAACTTCATTCTGTTTGTGTGCATGAAAAAGGTGGATCATGGAGTTTGTGGGTTCATTTGCAGCGTGCGAGCCTTTTCCGCTCTTTTTCAACTAACACACATTAGGGTTTCAAAAATGTTTGTGGTAAACGTCTTTGTCATGGACAGCAGAGAAAAGGTCTGTTCAGTGTATGTCACACACACACACACGTACTTGCCCAGCATGCCGTTGTGGCCTTGATCTGCCGTGCTTAAATAACTGCACGTCAGCCTTCCATACTAATGTCATGTCAGCGACATGCCATGTGTCATCAATGCTTAGGAAGCTGTCATCGAAAGTATGTCTTTTACTGCGTGGACTATCCCCGGTGCCATCACCTTCCACATCCTCTCCTAGCATGTCCCACATGTGGTGTTGGTCGTAAACCTACGGTAACCGCTGACGGATCTCGCTCTTTCTTGCCAGACGAACGATGGACACAGCAGTCCGAGGAGGAAAATAGACTTCTGTATGAACCACCGGCAGAGCGATGTAGTTTACCTCCAAATCCTGCAGCAGCTGAACGCCCTTGCGTTGGACCGATCCTCCCTGTTGTCGCCGGCCCACAGAAGGAATAAATATTGAGGAAGCCCAAGAAAGATGCTCCATGCCGCTTTGTGATGACCCGCCGGAGATTCAACTAGCATGTGGTTCACATGCCTTGTGCCGTGAGGATTATGAAGTGATAGTCCGTGGGAGTTTTTGCTTCCATACGTACGATGACAGTCAGTACTGTGCTCATGTATGGCACCCCGACATGTCATGTCCAATTTGTAGACAGGCTGGAACGGCAATGCCTCTATAATTGTGGCCGATGCGCCTCTGTGTTCCTAGCATGTACGCGCCACGTAGCCCGTGACATCTGTCTGAGCTGTGCCATTCGATGCAGCAATTGTGACTGCGAAAATTGGATGCTGTGCTTCCATAGCCCACACCCGAATCGGTCCTGTCCAGTCTGTAGGGATGACCACTTGCCATATGTTTTTTTTGCTAGAGTAGTTTGTTTCAGCGGTGAATATTGGGAATTCTGCGAAGCTCGTCATACGCCTCTCCCCTGCTCTTTGCATGTCATACTCTATCCTGCCCTTCACATATTTCTTTCCTTCCCGTTGCCTCTAGCTCCCCTACACTCCTTCAGAACTCCGCCTTCTATCCCTTACCCTCCAGCCTCCCCTCCAATTCCCTTGTGCTACTAACAAATATGTACGAATGAGCATCATTAAGAGAACAGACAATATGAAGATCAGAAATGAAATGGACGGAAGTATGAAGATGAAGGATGGAGACAAAGACTGTATAAGCTGAAGATCTGAAGTGAAATGAACAGGAGTATGAAGCTCTAAAGAGAAATGCACAGGAGCATACCTTCCCTTTTACTCTGCCCCCTGAAATAACGTGCAAGTGGGCCGTGAAGGCACACAGGGACGTGGGCAGCTGCCGCTCAACCACAATCGACGTGGGCAGCCTTGTGCGTAAGAGGCGCAGTAAGAGGGGAGCTGCAAGAACAATGAAAGGGGTACCCCAAGGACAACCAAGAAACTGTCCAATTATAAAAGTGCTTTAATATGTTGGACATCTCAAATGCTCTTGTTGTCTGCAATAGGACGTACTGCTTTGATTCTGAATCTATTCATCTGGGTGGAATTGGGGCTGTTGTGGGGAAAATCTATAACACACGCACGCACGAACACACGCACACACACACACACACACAGACACAGAGAGAGAGAGAGAGAGAGAGAGAGAGTCCATGGAAATTTTTTCAATATGTTGATTGATTATGGACTGTAAATGAGTCTTACATGAGATTGACTGGGTGTAATGTTTTTCGCTCAGGTTGAGGAGGAGACAGGATTCGACATATCAGGCCTTCTCAAGCCAGAAGAGTACTTGGAGGTTTCTTTCGGGCAGCAAAGGACAAGGCTGTACATCGTACCGGGGGTGGACGAGAAAACATCATTTGCCCCTCAGACAAAGAAGGAGATCAGTGTATGTGTGATACTGTTGATGAACCGTCCTGTCATCCCTTTTAGACATATCTGTTTGTGCACATTTTTCAGAGGTCTCTACTCTCCCAATACTCCGCTTTGCATCTACCCAGCCTACGTTATGCAGCCTTTCTTGTAGTTAGTATGCCATGTGTGAGCAGGTGCATCTGCTGCACTGGTGTTTTTTGGACGGGTCGTTGGAATGTTGTTTGCTGTGAGTAATCGTATACCAATATGAATGAAATCATGGTGCCTCTCTCTCTCTCTCTCTTTTCTGTGGGCTTCTGTACTCCATCCAGTGGTGCTACCTCTCATCTCCAGGGGATGCACAGAGGGAACGAATGAATGTGGCTCTGATGCTTGCTATGTGTTGTATGCCTGATATTCTGATTCGTTAGCTTTTGAGCTGCTGTAGCTCATTGCACACCATGAGGTTGCAGACATTGGTGATTTAGTCTGTTCACTTGGCTTGGGACTTGTGCAGGAGTTTGAGCGTTGTGGTGCTGTGCTCTCTCGGCATGCGTAGTAACTTGGGAAGCAGTTTGTCTGTGCATTTACATCGCTTTCTTCTTGATGGTTGGACCATCGTCTAGGCAGTAGCATTTGTTTGTTGTTTAAGAGAACTCTGCACACTGGTGGTAAGCTGCTGCGTTCTGTAGGATTGTCTCTAAATGTCAGCGAATGTTTTTCGGTTGCATTGCATTACTTTTTTTCTTTTTCAGCTGTGGTTGTCGTTTCTGTACAGTATGTAGACTAGTCTTCTGTCCAGTATGTAGACTACTCTTCAAAGACTTACGGGATGCTGCTTTTCATGCTTGGCTTTGATGTTAGACTGCCATTCGGGTTTGTGACCTGGTGCGTCTTCTTCGTCTGCTCGGTCTGCTCTCAGTGCTCTGTGGGCAGGCACTTAAAGTTTGTCTCCTGTTGTTGCCCTGTGTGCAGGAGGTTTCATGGCATCGTATAGATGAATTGCCTGTTGCTAGCAATGTTGCTGCCCCTGCTGCAAGGGCCATGAATGGCAACAAGTACTTCATGGTCTGGCCTTTTATTAGGTATGGCTTTATTAGCCCTGTTTCTGGTGAAGATTTTTTTTTTTTTTTTTTTTTCTTCCCACCCCTTGTGGCCCTGACTCCATTTCCATTCTGGGGAGCGTCAGTCCGGTTCCTATTCCACGGGCAAGTCAGATTAAGACATTGCATCATGAAGCACGCTCACGCTTTGAAGAGTCTAGCCTGTCTTCTACTGCGAACGGTTGTCCGATGCAAATCTTGAAAAAATGCATTGCCTGTGCGATGGTGTAATACTTGGAATGCAAGAAATCATTTTGCTCTGCTATTCCTTTCTGCGGTGGTTGTGGCTGATTAGTTTCTCTCAGAGGATGCGGTCAATCATGTAAGGGCTATCCTCCGTGGGCATCATTTTGCGTTGCTATGCTTTCGGTGGTGGTTGTGGCTGATTAGGTTTTCTCAGCCGACATTGTTAGTCATGTAAGGGCCGTCCACCTCCGTGGGAATAGTGCTCACAAGTATTTTGGGGAGAGAAAAATGGCTGCAACTTGCGCGCGTACTAGTGAGCTACTCTCTCTCTGTGGATGGATGTCTTTTGGTGGATTAGGTTCGTATACATGGCCTAGTTCTATGCCCTGCTTTGCAGCATGAGCTGTCTTGTCGATGAAGCAATGTCTGTGCGTGGCCACAAGTTTTTTTTTCTGGGATGGGAATGAATGCTTCGGGTTTTGGCCACGCTATCTTTGCGAGGAGGCTNCTGGGATGGGAATGAATGCTTCGGGTTTTGGCCACGCTATCTTTGCGAGGAGGCTCAGAGAGTGTTTGCTGTGGGTGTCATTCCCTCGGGCTGCTCTTTCGGAGCACATGGAAGAATGGGGAAGCTTCAAGGGTGTTTTAAGCAGTAGCGAGCCTGGTGTCGTGTTGGAGATCTTGTGGAATTTGGCATAGTACTCGCAGTGGCCTCGCTGTAGCACTAGGATGTCATCTGATTCTGCAGGTTATACAGCAGGGGGAGTTTCATGGCACCCTTGGTGTTGCGTGCAGGTCCTGCCGTGTATTTTTGATTTGTGGTGGTGTTGTAGGGCTGTCACGGATGAAAGGCATTTCATGCATACCCCAAATTCGAATGCATACCCCAAATTCGAATTTCAGGGTTAAGGTCTCAAGCGAAGGGAGGCCAAGTCGGCCAGATCAGAAAGGTCACAGTCGGGTACCTTAGGAGAGTCGAGTCCAACAGGCGCCCCCCGGTAAACAGCCACATCCCAAAGGTAAAAGTTGCATTCTGCAAGCAAAAGTCACGTCTCATATTGAAAAGTCGTATTGAAAAATCATGTCCCACAGGCAAGGGACACTTCTGCAGGCAAAATTGTGCAGTTGTGGTTAGGATCACTTGTCTCAGTCAAGATGGTTTGCGCCAACGTGCTGTTTCTAGCAACAATTTTCTAGTGTATGGCTCTGCTCAGGAATCGGCGTGAACCGTTGATATAGAGCAATGTATGAACGCTCTGACTGATGTGTTGCAAGGGGTGTCCTATGTTTGCCGGAGAGCGATGGTGTGTCTGTTGGCTGACAATGAGTACCTGTCTGTGCAGTAAGTTGAGGACGTGGATTGCTAACTATGCGAAGCAGAGGAACGGGATTCTGAAGGCAAAAGATACTTCTCAGTTTTATGCAGGTAATATTTCTCCCCTGTAAGCTTGGAAATGGTTTTCTCCGAGTTCTGACGAGATGCGCTCTCTGTAACTATATTATGAGCTGAGTAGTTGTTGGTCTGCTATCAGAACGTTGCTGACTCGTCTAATTCGCGGGCACAAATTGCTTGAGACACGGTCCACGGAAAGTAAAAAAATTGCACTTTTAGTTGCCTGTTGAAGGCATTCTGATTCCATGTGTTAATTCACGAAATAAAAGAGTTTCAGAAGTGAAGTCTTTTGATGTGAGAGGATAGGGAGCAGACAGTTTCATTGGGAACACGAAAGGGACGAAGTTGTGGTGCCGGCTGCTGCTCGGAACATTCTTCACAGTAAGTGCCCTCTACTCTTAAACCACCAGTACTTGGCCCAGCTATCAGCCGGCCAAAAAAAATAGAATAGAAACGTTTCTAGCGGGATGAATTTGGGCGCTCCTGTAGTACGTTTCCTAAAATCGTGGCGTGTTAATGGGCACAACTTTAGGAGGTACTGGTGGTTTAATATTAGTGTTTGGACTTGCTGTTTATCAGCATATTGTATGGTCTTTCTGATTCTGATTCCAGGTTCTATACTTCAAGGCGTGGAGAGGATGATAAAAATGAAGGATCTATATGAGTCGATTTGCCGCAGTTCTGTTCCACAGTAGAAGGTTTTGCTGATGATGTGAACCACTTGTGTGTTTTATGCACTCTGTTTTGCAGGAATGTCGGCTGCGGGATATGCTGTCGAGGCATTTAAAAAATTGCCACGGCGTTTGGATCCGCTGAGGCTGTCGTGCTCAAAGAATAAGAACGGACTTGCGCGTTGCTCTCAACCGCCACAGCCTTCACAGGCTGTGCTGGCCTCACCATGTGTGCCCTCGTCACAGCCTGTTCTGCAGTCTGGGCACTTGTCGTCTCCTCTACTCTCCTCGCGTCCTGTTCACGCTACCCCTCCTGTGCATAGTTCACAACCTGTCGTCTCTTCGCCGCCTCTGCCCAATTTGCAACATGTGCACTGTACACAATCTGTCAATTCTTTGCAGCCAATCCACTCGTTGCAGTGTGTGCAACCTGTCCAGACTGTGCAGTCTGCAGAAACCCTGGTACATGTGCAGCCTCTGCCTCCTGTGTTGATGGGTACTTCCCCGTCTTTGCTACCTTTGTCGACTGTGTTTCCTGTGCAGCCTTTGCAGTCGTCCTCTCCTGTGCAGCCTGCGCAGCCTCCTTCGGCTGTGCACTTGTCGATCGTGCAGAGGGTTCCGGGGTTGAGCTTTAGAAACTTCCACTTTAATCGCGATGAGATTCTCAAGGGGCTGGAATGTAGGTTATCGTGCTCATAGGGTCATCTTTGGCTCAAGTCACGAGCGCAACCACTTAGAAATTCAGCTCGAAGAAGTGCCATCTCATGGGGGATATCAGTCCCGGTGAAGTGTCTCTCTGTGCAGCCCTAGAATGGTTAGAAGCGTTAGAGCATGAAACTTGTTGAGCAGGCTTCGACTATTTGTTGGCAACTTAGCTCAGCCCAAAGGAATGCGGAATTATCGAGTCGAGCCCGCAGTGAAGTCTCTGCTGTTATGTGGTCCTTCTTTAGGGGATTGCATGATTTCCATTTGGAATGCGGTAGGTGGGCTTACTCTGATGCGTTCCACAGCCGTAATCTCGCATTGCTCTCATCTGGTCTTATGTTGCCTTCTGTTTTTCTTTGGCATCTATTCTTTCATTTCATAGAAAATCAAACCAAGGCGGCGTACTTAGCTCAGTGTGTTGCTTTCTCAAAGCCTTTGATCAGAGTTCCACGTAGTCCTCATGACTTCTATGTAGGGTTCCTGAGGTCTTCGCAGTCTTCATTTTTCGCTAGTTTCTCTCACGAACTCGCCGCAGGGTGCAACCTGTGGCTCCCATACGCTTACCCGAGTGTAAAGAGGCCGTTGCTGGCCGAACACGAGGGTCTTAGTTCTTTCTGTCACCACTCCCCACTGTGGATAATGTCTACATTTTGAGCGGAGTCCTGTGATTACCGTATTTAGGCAGGCGTCTGATCTCCACTACGCTGTGGTAGTTGCGTTGGCTTTCAATCACCTGTCTTGGAGAGTGTCCTAGCGGTGGGTAGTGGAGCTTGTGGCTGTAGTTGTGCCGCAGAGCTTGTGGCTGCTTTTCAGCCATTCATCATTGTTCTTTTTTTTTTTTTGGTGGCTGCCACCTGGTGAGCAATGTGAACGACTATCGATTACTCTATGGTGAATATGCCCGCGCATGCTCCTGGCAGTTGCACTTCTTAAAGGAGGCTATGGCCATGCGGCCCCTTTTTGGGCTCCTGATAGCATTGGCTGCTTGACTCTTCTGACAAGCATGCTGAGATGGTTAACAGTTGATCTTTGTCCGTTTTGTCCGTCTTCCGTAGTTCTAGAAACAAATCTTCATCATGACACCGATCAATTGACTGCCCGTTGTAATCCTTCTCTACCGCCTTCCAGCCAGCATCTTCTTGTAGCTCGATTGATGTCTTCTCCGAATGTAATATGTCTTGACAGGTGATTCTGCGCCATCGCAAAGGGATTGGTGAAAGGGTGATTTCGGGCGTTGACTGCTATTGCTGTGATGTCCGGATTCTGCTCTCATTTGGCTTCCTGGCTTCGCTTTTAAACATGTCCTGCCTCCTCGAGGGTGATTGTGTCTTCTTAGTGCATATATATCATCATGGTTCCCCAACTGTCATCAACAGTCCTTTCATAAGGCTGCACCTAGGTGACCGTAAGCCTGTTTGGCACTCCAATTTCCAGTTTGACTATGTGTACGTACTGTCTACTTCCCTTTTACCGCTACTATAACGCAGTGCAGCATGGGTGCTTGTGTAGCACAGCCCACACGAGCAGGAGAATGCTTGTGTAGCACAGCCCACACGGGTCTAATGCTTGGTAACCCCCTCTTTTTCTTCCTTTCACTGTTTCACGGCCGTACCGCTTTGCCTTCTCCCTTTTCACTGGCATTTCCGAATTTTTCCGATGTCGATTGATTAGATTCTTCCCAGAGTCCTGCCGACATTAAACCGGTCAGGTTTGTTCTGCTGTTGCATCTTGTAATGGGTGATCTCTGTCGACGTTAAAGATGAATGCGTCTCGGGCTTGGGCATGTGTATGTCTTCTAGCTCCTGGTCAAATTCTCCAGGCAGTATGTGTCGATGCCGCTGCCTTTGCGCTGTTTTTTTTTCTTCTCTGTGTCCATACATGGTATGATCGATCCTCTTGATGTTTCTTTTCCAACGTTCCCTTCTGGCGTGTGTCTACACTGAAAAGGTTCCATTTCTTCAAGGATTGACTTTTGCTATCCGATCTATACACACACGGTTGGAGACTACTGTCTGAGGGCAAAAAATCTCACGACTTCTCTTACCGGTTTTGCCGTGGCCAGCAGTTAGGTCTTTAGACTACCGCATTCTCTGCCTTGCTGTCTGTGATAATTCGTGTTTTTTCACGTTTTCCATCGTCTTTTTTTTCGGTGTCGATGGCATTCTATCGCGTAAAATACACCTCGTTGAAAGCGACCATGTATTCTGCTGCGCTTTGTTTGGTTTATCTCCGTGTCTCCGCATTCTCTGCCTCGCTCTCCGTGATAATTCGTGTTTTTTTCACTTTTTTCATCGCCTTTTTTCTGGTGTCGATAGCATTATATCGCGTGAAGTACATCTTGTCGAAAGAGACCATGTATTCTGCTGTGCTTTGTTTGGTTTTATCTCCGTCTCTCCTCCACCTTGTTCTGTTGGATCGACTACGATGTCCGCATGTCCACTCTTTGTGGGACCTCAACCATTGTAGAGTCGATTCCACAAAAAAAACTGACAATCCTGGGCGAGTGGGTGAAGGGCGAGGGTTGTCAAGGGGTTGGGCGGACGTGGAGAGGGAAAGGAAGGGGTGTCCAGAGGAATGATAGAGTTTAGAGTGTCTGCGTTTTTGGTCTTCTCTTTCCATTTTCACGAGGCCAACACTTTCTTAAAATGGATCATTCCGTCCCCCCCATTTGGGATTCTTTGTCTTGTTGGTTCTCACTGTGCTGTAGCATATGTTTGGGCAGGACATGATTTTCTTTTGGTTACAACGCGGCTGAAGCTATTTGCGCTGCTTTCTGATTGCTACAGTGTCATTAGGTTGTTTGTGGATCCTAGGATGCTCAGGCTAGTCTGCGCCTTTGCAATCGACCATATTCTTTCGGCACTCATTGAGTGGGGTCGTTCTAGGCATTTCTTTCTTGTCCCTTGATCTCTTCTGTGCTCTGCCCAACACTGCCTACCTATGTTTGGCCCCACTTCCCCCATGTCAGAGGAACACAAACGCATGCGCATGTGCATCGGAGCACATGCAAGCGTGCCCATCTGCATGCGCAGACACCCAGGTCAAACGAACAGTGTGCACGTGATCGTGCACCTCTTCACTGCAATGTGCTTTCCTGTCATATGTAGAATTCGCCATCCTTTACATTCCTAAAATAGTGGGACTTTTGAAAGTAGAAATTACAGCGTTATACGTCACCTTCGTGCTTTAGTGAGGGCCCGGCGTGTTTGTAGCTCATCCTCCTCACAAATTCTTAGCTTCTCGACTTTCCGATTTTCTTATGATCTCATTGCTCATATAAGCATTTGGACTTCTCCAAGTGCTGCATAGCGTCCCTGCCGTAAGGTCAGCCTCATTTTGGCTTGCGGGGAAAGTGCGGCGTGCAGTTCCAACGTGCTTGGGAATGTCTTCACCGGTACGCCTTTTCGTTATGGGAGATGATGGGCCCATTGAAACAGAAGCGGTACGCAAGCATATGGGCTGTTTGAGCAATGTGTAGTCCAGCCGTGGCATGATGGTGAGGGCTCCAATGATGCGTGTCCCATCAGATCAGCTAAGGTAGGTAGAAGTATTGTACGAGATAGGCCCATTGATTGTACTATTCCCATGATGTTTTGACGCTTTTTTTTTTTTTTTTTTTTTTTTCCAGGTAGTTGCAGTGAGCTAGGGGCGGACCACAACTAGCATTCTGAGGAAACTGCGCGAAAGTTCCACACACTCGTGAAACGACAGCTAGGTTTTTGTACACGAATAAAGTCAGCAGTGTATCTGTAGAGTCTTCCCGATTTGGAATATACCTTGACGTCCGTTTCTTGGTCAAGAGCACAGGTTTGCGTGTCACTCTCTTGGTAAATTGCCCACGATGTGAATCTTAGCGGTGACACTCGAATACAAATTATTATTCTGCGGTCTGTAAAGATACAAGGTTGGGGTAGAGTGGAACGCGACCTGGGAAGGGAAGAGGGGTTATTTAGGTTGGTGGTGGACAGATGTGGGGGGCAGGGGAGGGGAGGGGGGAGGGGGGAGGGGGGAGGGGAGGCGGGGGATGTATAGATCCTTCCTGGGGTAGGGTTATCTAAGTGGTGGTGGAATATTCGGGATCCGGTAGAGCGTGGTAATAACCGTGGAAGTTCCGAGTCCGTGTTATTCGGGAGAACTGAATGCTGTTTCTGTTCTCCGTATCCATTTTGTTGAAATGGATTCAAGGACCTTGCCAGGGGGGATGAACCTTTTGCAAGGTATGCTGTGGAAGATTGATTGCACTGCTGGACTGGCTGTGCGCGTCTCAGAAGGTGTGTACGTGATGGATTTATGGACGCCTCTCGGCAGTGATGTTTTCTGGCACGCTCTCTTTTCTCGTCCGTGTAGCTTAATCCGTTGTGTTTTCTTTTCTTCAGACAGATCTTTTTCTTCTGTCCTCAGTGATTGGCAGTGCATGCAGCAACTTTTTATATGCTCATGCCACAAATGAAGATGCCATTGCACTGATGGACCTTACCCGAGGAGGTGCGGATGTTACGATATTTGCAACGTTCACGAGGGGCCCTTGATACGTCACGAGGTTCGTGTAGGTTGTCGTAGTTCGATCGGTTAGGATCTTGGGATGGCTGCCACCTGCTCTTGATAGGGTGGATGGGTGTATTTTGCAGGTTCTCTTTGTTCTTCCTTCCCCTTCAACGGCCTCCACGTCCATCCCTGTCTCCCACTCCTCCCTCCACTGTTTCCAGAGCACATCAAATCGTCACATGCCGTCTGTGGCACACGGAACTGCAGTGCAACGTATGTGCACACACGAGAAAGCTCAGGCACTCACTGGGTGCTTCAGCTCGGAAAGCGCTTCAGCAACATAGAAGACACAGTTTCCTTCAATTCTGCATAAGTCTTCCGCTTGTCATGGTGTTGGCGCCAACGGAATAACGTGCGGCGGAAGAGCGGGAATCTAAGTCATGGTATTGGTGCCAACGGAATAACGTGCGGCGGATGAGCGTGAATCTAAGTGAGGAGCAGGGAAAGTGTCAAACTGTGAGGGAGGAAGTCCAGGGAGCCGGTGGAAGAGATGCCAGGTTCGGGAATCAACCAGCAGCGACAGCAGCAGCAGCAGCAGCAGCAGGTTTGAGCAGTTATGAAAACACTCGTCATGGTATGGAGGCTTGAGCAGTTATGAAAACACTCGTCATGGTATTGGCGCCGACTGAATAACATGCTGCGGAAGAGCAGGAATCTAAGCGAGGAGCAGGGAAAGTGTAAAACTGTGAGGGAGGGAGTCCAGGGAGTCGGTGGAAGAGATGCCAGGTTCGGGAATTAACCAGCAGCAGCAGCAGCAGCAGCAGCAGCAGCGGGTTTGAGCAGTTATGAAAACACTACGCAGTTCTTTGATGGGTGGCTGCGGTCGTCGGATATGGATGGAGTCTGCTGCTAGCACATACTTCAACACTTGTCACTTCCTGGGTGGAGTCACTCTGCATTGCTTAAGATGAGTGCAAGCTTTCAGACTTTTGCCAAGTGTGTGTGGAAATTACTGGAGGGGAACGGAGAAGCTCAGAAAGGATGGACCAAGACGGTGAAGGAATTGGTCTCTGCGGAGAGGAACAGGGGCATCGGTTGCAATTTCGGATTTGGAAACACTGAAACAGTCGAGGGGAGGTCGCGAGCAAATTGTACAAGAAAGGTTTTTGGGACTCTTCGGTGCATGGGCTTTTTCGATGACGACCTGGGGCACACAGGATGGATTGTATCCGTATAGTAGTACACGTGAAGAGGTGGGGCTGGCTCGTTCGGTAGTGCATGTGAAGTAGAGGTCGAAATATGCCCACCCGGGGAGGCAGGGGTGAGACCAGGACTATTCGGGACATCAAGCACATAAGTCTGCCATCGTCCAGACGAAAGGATTTCATGATGTGGGGGAGGTGGCCGACTCACTGAGGTTGCTTCAGTGATATGTCTGCCATCGTCCAGACGAAAGGATTTCATGATGTGGGGGAGGTGGCCGACTCAATGAGGTTGCTTCAGTGAAACACCACACATCTCCTTGGAGGAAGAGGGAAGGAGAAGCTTGGAGCAAGAGAGAGGGAGAGCAAGGGCTGATGTTGTGTGGTGAAGTGGTATGTTGACGTGAGGCATATCGTCTTCTCTCTGATGTATAAAGGCGCGTACTGTGTGGAAATTCTACTGGGCGCAAGATGGAGGAAACATGGTTTGGAATGGAAGACCTGCCAGCAACATCTCTGAAATCAGGTAGGCTATTCTTCTTGCCTGCCGTGAAGGGTACGACACTTTCTGGGTGGACGAAACAGGAGTGGGTCATGTGGGGGTAGAATGCCGTCGTATCTTGCAAAGGTGACGCGATCTGTGGAATGCATGGTCGGTGATGCACTGGTCTGACAACTATCACGATCGTCAATCAAAAAAAAAGATTTGACATAACACGAACATGATGAGAGGTGCGCCGGTTGAGAAGACGTGAAAAAGGAGAGGGGCGTGTCAGTTGGCCATCGCGTTTCTGGTTGGGGATGTGATGGATAAAGAGGGATCAGATGGGGGTTGGGGGGGAATTAATAGCCTCTCTATTATTATACACCAGCCTCCTCGTTTCTCTACCCCCTGTATCTGGAGGGGTTTGCGTGATTGGTTGTCAATTCTTCTAGTGGTTTGCTTCGCCTCTGCACCCACCAATTGCCGGTTCCCTGTCTGCGACCAACTTCACCTAAATTATAAGCGTATTTGGGGCAATTTCAGTCGGGATGCAGCAATAATGACTGGTGGTTCTATTCTGCTGAAGCCGGTGGGTCATGTATGGATGTATGTGTACCCAGCATTTCCCCCTTCTATTCTGCAATAAAAGAATTTATCGTGATACTATTCAAGTTCTTCAGCCGCCTCCATGTCTGCTGTCGCTTGTTCACCAGCATCACAGATCCACCATTGGAGGCATGTATGTGTATCCAGCATTCCCCCCTTGTATTCTGTGTACACTTATTTCCTTCAAATATAGTGTCTCTTTGGACAGCGGGTTCTTCTCGACTCGGGTCGCCCTTGGTAAATGTGAATTGGTGTTTCCGAAGGGGTTGGCAGTTTGGCGACTGCTCTGCTTTTGTAATGTACCAACCAGGTGTCTGATACCTTGCCAGCGGGGGAGAGCGTGTCTGATACCTTGCTAGAAGGGGGGGGGGGGTGATACCCTGTGGGTACGGCGGCTTTCTTATTCCAGATTTGAACTTGGCACCTGTCGGATGAAATGGGGAGCCTTACGGATGCGGATTCTCAATTATTTGGACTTCATTTTTTCACTGTAGCCTTTTGTAATTTGACTGAGAATGCGCACGTATGTTGGCCATCCTTCCTTACATTCCCTTCTTGTTGGTTCCCGGGTCGTCGTGTTCATCAAGTGAAGAGCGCAGACAATGTGTAAGTGATTGATAGTGTGTTGACCAAACTGGGAAGGGGGCGATCATACGGGGAGGGGGTGATCACAAGGGGGCGATCATACGGGGAGGGAGTGATGGAACGAGCAAGGGGGTGGGAGTTAGTTATCATGGCAGTATGAAGGATGTGCAGAAACAGTGTAATGTGGTTGATGTGGAGGATGATGGCAGGATGAAGGATGTGATGCTTGTGTATGGATTCTGTCTGGTACTAATCTATGGAAAGGATTGACAAGGTGGTGCGAATACGTAAAAAACACGGACATCCTGCTGAGATGTTTCTTGAACAACTGGTCGTTTCGTTGCTTTACAGAATTAACGAACGGTTGCAGCTACGTCCGATGAGCTATTATGCGGGGAGCTATCTTCGGAGCAACATCACGCTTGTGGCGCTGAATGCAGTCGTGTGTGTGAAGAAGGCAGCGTCGGTTTGAGAGATGGAGGCAGCAATGGGGGTGGTTGGTGTAAAAGCGCAGTAATGTGAAATTTGTGCGGGATGATGATTATATGACAATTGGAATTCATGGAAGGTGGAGGAGCAGTTGGTAGCTGTCTCCGTTTGTCAAAGAGGGAGATCCTCTTGATTCTGGATCTGATGGCAGGTCCTCTTCTTGTCGGCATTCTTGTTTCGTTCACGGTTCGGGCAACTCACAGGCCATGTGGAGGTGTCCTCTACCGAACGTCCCTCCTCCGTCTGTTTGCTGCTTGCCTGAACTTCTCAAGCTTCATTTCCTTTATGCGAATGATCCTTTGTACAAGCTCCTTGTTTACTTTCTGGAGGACAGTCTTCGAGACACATGGCTTCTGCCTTTGCGATTGGCTGTTCCCATGCTCTTTGTGCCATCTTGGCATATCCTTCAGCAGCAGGGCTGGAGAGAGGGGGATGGCAACATGGGTGTGTTGTAGGGGTGGGTTATGTCATCGTAAGCGAGTATAGGTGCAAGAATGCCCAGCAGGGTGGTGAAGAAGGGGTGGCGACGTGGGAGGCAATGGTGGTGACGAGGGGACGATTTGGAGGGTCAGACTGCCTCCTTGCTTATTATCGTCCCACTTGTCGAGGGGGAGGGTCGGGGGGGGGAGGGGAGGGAAGGGGTCAGCAGCATGGGTGGAGAGGGGGATGGCAATAAGGGTGTGTTGTAGGGGTGGGTTATGTTCTCGCAAGCGAGTATAGGTGCAAGAATGCCCAGCAGGGTGGAGAAGAAGTGGTGGCGACGTGGGAGGCCGTGGTGGTGACAAGGGGGCGATTTGGAGGATATGTGAAGGCCGACGTGGTGACGAGGGGGCGACGTGGGAGGCCGTGGTGGTGACGAGGGGGCCACATGTCAACTCTCACAGAAGATATTCCCAGCATGGAAGTTGGGATGCAGGGCTGCAGACATGCAGAAGGTTATCATTTTGTTTTGGATAATATGGACAGGTAAGGAAGGTGTAGATGCTGGAGTGCGGAGCACACAAGTGTAAGTTGGGAGTCGAGGGTACAAGTGTAAGTTGGGAGTCGAGGGTGGAAGATAATAATTATATAAGTGTGGACTCGAGGTATATTTGAAGGCATGAGGGGGGGTTTGGGATGCAAGTTTCAAGTCAAAACTGGCGAGGACTCCAGGAGATACGAGCCGTTTGTAAACAGACGGCAGACAGTCGTTCTCGTGGACGATGGTTTTGTCTGTGGTAATGTGAAAGGCCATCATGAAAAGAGGGACGTGTGAAGCGATCGAGTGGTACGATAAGACCATCTTTATGAGATTCATGCAGAGTATAGAGGGGGTGATGCAATGTAGGGCTTATAAGGGGGAGGGGGGGGGCAGGGTGGGAGAGGGGCGCGGGGGGGCCGGTGGGGTGGGAGAGGGGCGGGTGGGCAGTAGAGGGTATTTTATCAGTCAATTTTAGAACATATGTTGATGACGAATGGATTAAGACGAATACACTGCAGCATGGAGAAAGTCAGGGTGACTGAGAGGGAGGTTTTATTGGATATAATAAATATAAATATGAGCACAGTCATTACCTGTCTTTTGGAGCGTACTCAATGAGGGACGACATAAAACTTGTCATACTTGCCCAAAGGAAAAGAAAAAAGAAAAAAAAAGAGGGTATCATCTGTTTTCAGTTGATGCCACCAAAAAACGTTGGTGCGTTTGTTCTCCTTCTCTCGCTTTAGATGTGATTTTTGCTTGCACATCAGCCTTTCTTCTTTTTCTGTTTGGAGTTTTTTTTTTTTTTTTTTTTTTTTTTTTTTTTTTTTTTTTTTTTTTTTTTTGAACAAACCATCATTCCATTAAAAGAGAACAAGGGGAGTCTGGGAATGCCTCTACAAAAAACCCGGAAAATCTGGGACCATTGCCCAGTTTCATAGTTGAAACAATTATTCTTGAGGAATTGTCCTTCATCCCTCACTCCAACATCCTCCCCCCCCCTGCCCCCTGCACTGGAAGGCCTTTGTGTTGGCTTCTTCAAGAAAGAGAGAAGTCCATTTACACTCTATTTTATTTAATTGACAGAGAACTTTGAAATTATCTTTTCTTTCTATTTCCATTTATTATTTAAAAGAATGAAAGATAAAGTTTAAATTGAAAAAAATATAATTAATATAATAACCACCCTTGCAAGGTTCAGTCTTTCCTTATATGGTAATCCCGAAGACATGCTCCCCTGGAAAGAGTTTGAATCGCTTACTCGTTGAATAGGTCGCCTGGTCATGAAAATTGCTCCCCTGATCCTGAAAAGGTGCTGGCCCCTCTTGCTAGAAGATCTCGACTACCGTCTTCACCTGAACCCAGGCATCGGAAATGAATATAGCGTCGGGCGGGCATCACATTTGTCTATAATGTACGGGTGTGTTACATTCAGTAAATTGGCAGTGATTTCGGTGGTCCTCCGCCGCCCCTCCTGGCCCCCAAAAAAAAGCAAAAAAAAACAACCAAGCAACCTACCTCTCTTGCATCTCCAAATCCTTTCCCCACCGGTGCCATAGCAAATGTTTTCCCTCTGGCAGCATATAATGACCAGCCCGTCTCGTCTGTGACGCATTTTCGAATCCTGCCCCCACCGACGCCATAACAAATATATTCCGTCCGGCACTGTATAAAGAGGGATCCCTGATCCTCCTTTTTCGTGTTGGCATTGTGCGATGCATGTTTCCGTCAACTTTGACAGTGCATGTTCTAGTGTGATTGGACCACCAGTAGTTCCAGTAAGTTCTGTCATCCACATCACTAGAAAGCGCTTTCCTGTAAGGGCCTGGCGTGGACGGGGACATACTCATCCATGCTAGCCTGGAGTGGCACTGTAGCCAAGGTTGGTTGAAGTGAGCCCGAGTGGAATTCCTTGGCGGTTTCACCATCCAGTCCCCGGTGGGCAATCATCTGTGGCGGCTTCACCATCCAGTACCTGGTGGGTTACTAGGGAGTAGAAAGACGCTGGGTTATTCTTGTACGCTTTATTCCTTGGATTTTATTAATTCATTTTTCTTTAAATGGCCGGTACACGGGGCCAACCTTGTGTAAATTGTTTGGTTACCTGCTCTGAAGAGCGATGTCGATAAAATAGATTGGCAGCCGGGTTCGCGTTGCAGGCAATAGCCTCGATCACACAATGCTAGATCTGGGGCACAGGCACAAAATAGCCTCGATCACAACATGCCCCAACAAAATAGCACAGACATGCTATAGCCTCGATCACACAATGCTGGTGGGATCTGCAAAATGATAGCGGCTGCCTCAGACATGCTATTTTGTGGCAAGGCCCAAAAGGACGGCCAACCCTGTAAAGTGACGCCCCCCCTATCTGCCATTCCCTACCGGAGACTATCCCATCTTCCATTTCTCGTTTTACTTCCGAACTGGGATGAGCAGTACACCCCCCTGCGACAAGGGGCCAGAATCACAGCCCATGATGCCTAAGTGTTCTTTTTCACACCAGGTCCAAGGGTGCGTTCTCATCTGGCTCCGGAGGATCCGGCCCCGGCGGCGGGGTAGGTTGCTGCAGAACTGGGGGGTCTTGATACCTCCGGGCCTGTGCAGTGTCTGTCATGTCCTGCTCAGCTTTGTGTGCCGCTGCTGCATGTGGCGGTTGAAAGCGAGCAAACACTATTGTAGTCAGTCTGTGCCATGCTTCAGTCCACTTCACTCCCGATTGCAGGCCATTTTCCAGTACATTCTTGAGCGAGGAGCTCGTGTCAAGCATGGGGAATAATTCTAAGTACGCCTTGTCCCAGAAGTCATCAGTGAGGGGGCCGTGTTTAGCTCTCAAATTACCCATCAGCCAGTCTGGGATGGCGACCAGTTTCTGTTCTACGGGTAGGTGCAGTGGGGACACCCTCTCCTCCTCACCTTCCAGGTCGCATTCCGGGACCAAGACCTCAGAGGTGACATGCTGGCGTTGGCGGGGAGCGGGTCAACATCCATCTTTCCTGCTTTTCCACCCCTGGCGGTCCCGCCTCCACGTCCATACTCCCCACCCCCCTCAGTCTCTCTGGCTTCCCCTTTGCTTCCACCTGTCCCAACCGTTTAGAGGGGCTATACGTTCCTTCCAATTGTGTCGATGTCTCCCCCACTCCGAGTCGTATGCTGTTTCCCCCCCCGCTCTGTTGTATTTGTTGTGAGGGAGGGTCCCTGGGAAGTTACCCGGTGTCATCTTACCATCCTCTTTCCGGATGTACAACTTAGCAGTGGGGCCTGAGGTGCCGCCGGGACTATCATTGTCCTTCCGCAACGGGCCGGGTTCCACCTGCTGTTTTTGAACCCAATTTTTTTTCCTCCTTTCCTACCCACCGTTTTCCAGCCTGAATTTTCTTGGCCTCCTTGCCGTGGGCTTACCTGTGTCTCATGCACCTTCTCCTCAACCGGGGCCGGGGGGGTCATGTGTTTGGGGGGCATGTTCCCCAGGCCGGTTCCCCAGCTCTTTCCCATTTCCACCCAATTGAGGTACCGTCCTTCTTACAGTCAATATAAACCCATCTTTCATGTCCCCGGTCCACTGTCCTCCAATGGGTCACCTTAACAGGGTCTCTCAACAGTCTCCCTGTTGTCCGGATCCTTTTTTGTGGATGGAGTGGACAGACATACTCAGTACTGAGGTGTTCGTAAGCTCTACATTTGTGGCACCAGGGCCTTAGTTTATGTGCCGTGTGAATCATATAATCCTTTCCCCCTACCTGATTTGGGATCAAGTTGTCAAGGGAAAACGGGTGAGCCTGGGGGGAATCCAGCGCCAGCATTAAGTAATTATCCCTCTTAGCCACGAAGGAGGGGAGGGGATCTACGAACGCTATGATGTCATACAGCAATCCAAAATCGTATACAAATGCGGCCTGGATTTCGACTGCGATATGGCGAAACTCTACCCAGCAGAAATCTTGGATGAGCTGTGCCCTCCTCTCCTCCGGCCCCAGTCTACGCTGTGGCGCCCATGGGTGAATCCGGACCTCCGACCGCTCACAGCAAAAACGCTTCCACCCATCAATCACCCTTTTGTCCAATTCATGCAAGCTCAGGACTGTGAACAGGGTGTTGGAGACTGGTTGGATCAGAAATTGGTCCTGGGTGCTGTTTTTTCCGTATTTCCAGCCGATGACCGATCCACTTGACTTTCTCATTGACCGATTTGTAAGCAGCGTCGTCATGAAACACCCAGTCACTGGCATATTGCATTAGACGTCGTGCCGGCCACTTTTAGGATTTGCCTTCACCATGACCTGCTTGCCCCTGTGGGTTACCACTCGGGTTTCTGACAGAAGTAAAAATTTTCTCATGAAAAAAACCCGTGCTAGTGGCACCCCATCCGGAGGGATCTCGAGACTCCCAGTCCGCGGACTGCCTTGGCCTTGATGGATGGTCAGGGCTTGATCCTGGTGCGGATTTCTAAGTTTGTCCACCCAGGTGAGTTGCGGCTGACCGTTACTCCATCCCTGGGCTGGGGTGGGGCCTTTGTGCTGTGTTTTCCCCCGTAACTCCAATTCTTTCTCCTCCTCCGTCAGGACCCCTGTGTCCTCCATTTGCTGCTTTTCCTCGCTCAAACCAGACTCTACCTGTGGGGGGGGCTGGGGGGCTTTGTGCTGATGAGACCATCGTTTATGCCAGAGGCGCTCGTCTGGTAGTTGTCTCATCGTACTGCTGTAGAATAGCATAGAGTCCAATCGCTTATGTGCTTGCTGTAATCTGTTTGGCCTTATGATGATGGAGTAGATGATGTAGCAGTCAGTCTGCCTGTACAATAACCCCTGTGACCCACTTTGTTTCCGATGTTTGTTTTCAATTCTTTTTTGCTTTTGTTTTTCGTTTTCTTATTTTATTCTTTAATGGTTTACTTGCTTTGGAGGTTGGGTAGGATATGCCAGAGGCTGTACCTCCACCTATCGTCATGTGCCACTTGCCTTCCCCCCCTCGTCATGCCTCACTTTTCCACCCTGTCCGTTTTCTCTCTCCTTCCCTGTGGCTTCTCTATTCCGTTGTTATTCCCCTGTCGCGGGTGCGTCCAATCTCGCTCACCTCTGACAATGCCTCTGTTTCTTCCGCTCACCCACTTGTGATCCGTCCCTATCGGAGCCCGCAGTTCCATGCCGAACGCCTCTGTTCCCTGCCCCTCGTCTCCTTCGATCAGTTTTTGTTGTTCCACCCCGCAGTTCCACTCCCTGCTCCCTGACCCTCATCTCCTTCGATCAGTTTTGTTGTTCCGCCCCGCAGTTCCATGCCCAGCGCCTCTGCTTCCTCCCCTTCGTCTCCTTCGACCGTTTGTTTCTCTCCTTCCCCGGGGTGCAATATCTTCTTCACACCCTCTGTCCCTATATTCTCCTGATCTCTCTACCCATCACTCCCCCAGATTTTTCCAATTTTCGATGTTTTTCCATAGGCTACCAGTCGGGCCATCCGGGTCACCCTATTTTGGCGCGTTGGTGCTGCTGGATGAGATGTTTTGGCCCTCGTTTTGGAGTGGAGTAGAATTGCATGTGAGCCCACAGGTCGGTGACTCTGTTTTAGTCACGTCGCCGGCGTTGGAAGGACTTGGATTGCAACAGTCGGCTTCACACGGTTTTGTTGTCGTTTGTTTTTCTAGTTAATTAGCTATATAGCCTCT